TCGGTGTGTGTCGTCTCTATATGTATTGTTGTCTCGGTGTGTGTTGTTTCTGTATGTGTTGTCTCGGTGTGTATGGTCTCTGTGTGTGTGTGGTCTCTGTGTGTGTGATCTCTGTGTGCGTCTCTGTCTGTGTGATCTCTGTCTGTGTTGTCTCGGTGTCTGTTGCCTCGGTGTGTGTGGCGGAGGCAGAGGCGGGCAGTGGACGGGAAGCGGGATGAGACATAGAAAAGAAGAACCCCACACTAAGATGTGGGGAAAAGGAAAATTTAACAATAAATAAATTAAGAACAAAGTCCGACCACTCAGCGACAGACCTGCGGCAACAGTGCCACGTAATACGTGCGCGCAGGAGCCAAAAGCTGCTGAGTCCTGTACGGCTGCCATGTCAGCAGCTGAAGCGGCTCTCCAAATGGGATCGTCTCTTGCTTGAACCAAAAACAAAGCTTCAAGTAAACAAATAGCACTGGCTGCAAACCCTATGCAGTGATACTGCGCAGACAATGCGTCCAAACTTTTTTTAGAAAATTCACATAAACCGGCCTGGTAGATCCGACACACTTTCTGAAAACCTGCACGTCAGATATCACTGGCTGCAAACCCTATGCAGTGAGACTGCGCAGAGAATGAATCCAAACTGCGTGTATAAAAGTCACATACAGGGGCCTGGTAGATCCGGCACACTCTCCGCGGCGAAGCTTGAGCACTCCGGGCGATTCAGTTCTGGTTTGAAACGTGATTCCAAACTGCAAAGCTTCTGAGACACTTCTGAAATCTAGCCATGTCACGCCGACCACGCAACAGCCCCTGCCACGAATTCTGCGCATGGAGGTTCACAAAGTGCTGTGCCTGCCACGAAATCTGCACATGGAGGTTCACAAAGTGCTGCGCCTGCCACGAATTCTGCGCGTCAAGAAACAAGTGAATACTCTAATCACAATGGAGGGACGGACCGGCGACCACCGCAGACAACCGCCGACAACGTAACAGCCAGAGCCTCTAACGGAACATGGAGGTTCACAAAGTGCTGCGCCTGCCACGAATTCTGCACATGGAGGTTCACCAAGTGCTGCGCCTGCCACGAATTCTGCACATGGAGGTTCACAAAGTGCTGCGCCTGCCACGTAAGATGTGTGTGGTCTTTGTGTGTGTGTGTGTGTTTCTGTGTGTATGGTCTCTGTGTGTGTGATCTCTGTTTGTGTGATCTCGGTGTGTGTTGTCTCTGTGTGTGTGTTGTCTCGGTGTGGTCTCTGTCTGTGTTGTCTCTGATGTCAGGGATCTGTCCCGGTGGTGGTCTCTGTGTGTGTGTGGTCTCTGTCTGCGTGATCTCTGTCTGTGTTGTCTCGGTTTGTGTTGTCTCTGTATGTATTGTCTCGGTGTGTATGGTCTCTGTGTGTGTGGTCTCTGTGTGTGTGATCTCGGTGTGTGTGATCTCTGTGTGTGTGTGAGATGTCTGTGTGTGTCTCTGTCTGTGTGATCTCTGTCTGTGTTGTCTCGGTGTCTGTTGCCTCGGTGTGTGTGGCGGAGGCGGAGGCGGGCAGCGGACGGGAAGCGGGATGAGACATAGAAAAGAAGAACCCCACACTAAGATGTGGGGAACAAGCATTTAAAGCACCGGCTGCCTCAACCAGCAAATTGCGATGAAATCGCGGTGCCCCATTACGACTCCATGCCATGCCATACATGGTCCACTGGATCAGTAGAGTCCTGGTTTGGCGCTAGTCATTTTGATTGCTACATTTGCCCATCTGGTTTGTTGCCTTGTGTCTGCGCATTGCCACCGGCTTCCTGGAGTGCAAAGTGTCAAGGCCATTCTTGTTGGTAGGGATTTCGCAACATGCCAAGAAGACATTCCATGCACAGAAGGGACGAAGGGAAGGTTGACTTGCAGGAAGAATCAGATGATATATCATACTATATCGCGTGCCATCACAAGCAGTCGCAAGCATTGATTTCAGAGCGGTGTGTAATGTCCGACGACGAGTGCACAATGCCTCAAGCCTGCTGGGCATCATTGATGCTTGCACTCTTGGAGCAGGACAGCCATTCCAGTGTTTGTGCGAGGCGTGTCAAGTTCAGAGTGACAGGCTGTACAATAATTTCATCACGGGCAAACGTAGTTGCCTGACAAGGACTGCGCATCCTCAGGGCAAGCCAATTGTAGTGATAAAGGCCGGGTTGTGAGATGGATCATTCATTTCCAACAAGAAGTGTTCATATAGGGGATGGCTTATTTAATTATTCCAGGGGACCTGTGGGATAGCAGAATAATTAAAATGGAATAATTTTAGTGGATTAATATATTATCAAAGGGCTAGTCATAGGTACCCCTGGAATAGTTTTCAAGAAAAGTCTCTGATGATGTCTGATCTGAAGTCAGCTGCTGGACGCCGAGTGAGAGGCTCAAACAAGAAACAGCAAAAAACTATATATAAGGGATACAAGATGCAAGCAATCACTGGCTATGTACAAAACCAAGGAAAACATAGGAAAACCATATGTTCAGATTTGAGGAAATATGTATTTCATAGGTGCTGGTAGCTCCTGAGCAGGCTTTTGGTGCCAGTAGCAGTTGTGTGGCAGGTGTGGTAATTCTCAGGGGTGGTCCTAATATGTCCTAATTATCCAGAGGGGTTGTTGTAAACGAAGACCACCCAGGAATAATTTCCCTGTGGTGGTATGTTGGGCTGACAGGCTTGGGGTTAGTAGGGTTTGGGGATATATTTTAGTTCATTCCCAAAAGATCCCAGTGGCTCTTGAGCAGGCTTTTGGTGCCAGTAGATGTCAGATTGCTCTTGCTGTGTGAGCGCTGTGTTGATACGTTTTTTATATGAAGATGTAGAGAAAGCTGAAAAAATATTCTTGCAACTCAACCAGTTACCAGAATAATATTTGGAAACTAACTCAAGGGGGGTCAGAATAATTTAGAAATATTCCTGGGGGCTTTCACAGGGGGGGCCCTTAAGCCATGACCTATGTGTTCATAATTGACAAGTGACCTCTCCGCTGACAATCATAAGGATAGGATCCAAGATGTGTGATGTGGCCAACCAGCTTGTTCCGGTCAGGCTGAACTGAGTAGCTGGTATTTTGGACCAGGGCTTCGCCCACGTAGATTTAGATTTACAAGATAGTCTACTCTCGGTATATAGAACTCGTCACAACCAACCAAGCGTGACAAACAAAGTGAACGAGATGAGGCGGTCATACAACTGTTAGCGCAATTTGCGTCAACAACCCATGGACAGATCCATGGTTCCTGAACACTCTCAATTCAAATCCATCCAACACAATGCTTTCATATGCCCATCGATCGATGCGTTAGCCCCTTATACTGTGCAGCTGCCGACCTGCGCCCAGCGGAGAAACAGCCTGTGCAGAACCAGAGTAAATTAGGTTGTCAAGTTGTCAACTGAAATCAACGTTTGTCATTTGCCAAGATATGCCAAGATGACTTTCAGTGATGACTGGCCGCCTTCGGACGCTCAAGCTTCGGCGAATGCACCCAGCTTTGGTCGAAGCGGCCCGGCTGGTGACTTGGGGTGCAAGCTGGTTCGGCTTATAGTGTGTCCAGCTCACTGCACCTCCTCTTTGCCTCTCCACCTGGCCATTTTTGTGGCCGGCTTCGCTTGTGGGTCCCTCGCCGTTCTTGGCCTTGGACTGTGGGTCTAGTGGGGCTCTTCCTTGCCTTACAGGTTGCTCTGTCCCTCCGAACAGGCCTACTCAGGCCCGCAACCCTTGTG